GTATATCCACAAACGGAACTAAATGGGGAAGAGATGGGAAGGAAAAACTTAGATTTCTAAGAATATAAATACCTAGATCTACATATAAAACTTTTTTTTTTCAGATTCCTCTAATCATACCCATACTGATGTTTCTAATTAATGTGTACTTGTTTATCGCCCCTGTCATCATTGAACCAAGTCTCCAGTACATCTATGTGGCAATCAGTATTCCGGCTTTGTCAATCTTACTTTACATTCCTTTGGTCTATTTTCAAATCAAAATACCTTTCCACGGTAAGTCATTGTTTAATTCACGCCAACTTTTACAAAGTTTATATCAACTTACTCTGTCTGTCTGGTACGAATTTTGTACACGTCATTTTTCCCCCTTCCTATTCTCGGACTGAGTTGAAACTTTGCACAATTATTTAATGTCCCTAACAAAACCTTCGTCAATATATTTATAGCTTTTTTATAGCATGCTCAGAGCGCTGTGGACCAGTGGGGGGGGGGGGGGGGGGGGAGGGGGTATCTAGGAGTTGGTTTTCCGTGCTGCCTTTAGGCGCTCAGTAAACACAACTCTGCCCGAGTCGGGTGTCAAACCTCGAGCCTCCTTCTAGGTAGCCAAGCCAAGCTAAGTTCAAGCGCACTTAGCCTCTCGACCACGCTTCCCAGAAAATTGACCAATTAATTAATTAATCAGTGGTAATTAATTAATTTTTGTTTGATAAAAAAAGGGGAAATTAATCTTGCAGTATTGAGATACATATGAAGTTCTTTCCGCTATAAAGATTTGCATAAGATTTGCTTTTTTAAATTATTTTTTTTTACATTTTGCTTGTGGGACGTGGGACTTGGTTCTAGAGAGTGAGACGACTAAATTCTGCCTGAATATTTCTTGAGGACGTTAAACTTTGACGATCAAGCAAGTAATTTGGGCTCTTTCCTGGTCTCCAGAGCTTTACTTTGGACGCTATACATTTGTGAAAGACGATTGCAGAAATCCCAACAATGAGCGTCCATGCCTATGTCGCGATGACATCACAAACTCGTTACCAGTGGCGTAGCAACCATGACGCGAAGTGGTTTCGTTTCGCCAGGCGGACAGCTGTAAAATTTAAGTTTCAAATTCTTACATAATTTCACCATCGTATAGTTTTTCTATTAAATTATATTTCTGTACATTTATGATAAAAAAAATTTAATGTACAAAGCGCTTTTAACAGACACAACAAAGTGTCAAAGAGCTGTAACAACATGACAGATATAAACATAAAACTAAATGCACTGAACTCATTGAGCATAGGGTGCTCTAAAGAACAATTGGAGGGATCAATCCATGATCAATCCCCCCCCCCGCAAAAAAAAATGTGTGTGTGTGAACATAATTGATATTTATTACATTCTGTCCCTTCATTCATCGGAAGACGTTTATTGTACCCTAGAATAGGTTCTTCCTGGAGTTAGTGGAAAAATTGTAGACTCCCCGCCATTGCCAGCAAGGGGGTCTGGGGGAGCGCTGTGATCTCCCGCATCGCGGGGCGGAATGCCGCCACCAAGCACTTTTACGGTATTGAAAGCCAACAAAATGAATATTCTGAGGTATCTACAGTGCATTATCCTGCTATTAAAAAGTTTTATTTCAAAAACCTTTTGTGCTCTTCCTATTGACTTAGACCCTCCCGCGCAGTTCGGCGCATTGGGCGGAAATCTGCTTCCACAAAAATCTGTCACTGGCAATGTCTGAAGCCTCTTCCTACCTGCTGTGAGGACCTCCATGAAAGTGTGGCGCCAAGTTGTACTAGGATGTCCCTGTTTGCGCTTTCCTCGTAATGGCTCCTTGTAATGGCAACGCGCAATTCATTTTGTCGGAGAACATGTCCCGCAAACCTCATTCGACGCTGTCACAGCCTCACTAAGGAGTCGACTCCCAGTTTGGCATAGGATTTCCTTAATTGAGACCCGATCTCTATAACTGACTCCTAAAATCCGTCTTAGCTTTTTGTTGAGCCACATTTAGTGTTTTTTTAATTTCGGCAGATGACTATTCACTGCACTTTATTAGTGGAGCCCAGCCACTGACAGAAATGTGTAACCTCTCTTGGCTACGATCTAGGAATTAGGTGACTGTAATTTTGCTTTAGATTTTATATCGAAAAGGGAAGTTTTATCGTCAAAATCATTTTTGGGTTATTTTAAACTAAAAAATCTGTGGAGTTTTTCTTTTTTAAATTAAAAACCCCCTAAGCTACGCTCATTGAGTTTGGTGACTGTCGTTTGCTTTGGAATAAAATTGAAAAGAGAGGTTTCCAACCTCAAAACTATTTGTATGGGGATATTTAAACTAAAACCATCAGGAGGGGTTTTAAACATTTTTTAAAAGGTAGGTTTAAACTCAAAGCCCCCTTGCATTTTGCGTGTGTAATTTGCTTTTTTTTATATTGAATAGGTATTTTTGAGCTTAAACCCTGCTTGAGGGGGGTTTAAACTCAAAACCCCCTTTGGCTACGATCATAGCATTTCGAGTGTGTCATTTCCTGTTTTTATAATGAAGAGGTGGTTTTTAGCTTTAAACCCCGCTGGAATTTGGGTATGGTCCTTTGCATTTTTTGGGGGGGTTTTGTTTTATAGAATAGGGTGGTTTGATTGCAAAACCCCCTGGTAGGGGGTTTTAAACTCAAAACCCCCTTGGCTGCGCTGGGGCAAGTTATGGTTTACTATTAAAATCTCACCTAAAATAAACAGAATCAAAGCAAAAAATCAGTCACTAAATTCCGATCGGGGGGGGGGGGATGAACCCCAACCCCCCCTCCCCCGGCTACGGACATGGATTAATCTACTAAGGTATAAGTGAATTTCTTTGTGACCATCTGACCATCTTGTAGTCGATTCGTGCATTCAATGGAGCCTAAGGAGATTTTGGGATTAAATGCCTAAACCTTTAAGTATGAGACATTAGGAAATGAAAATAAACGAGTTTGTACTTTTATAACACTCTGGGTGGCAAAAAAAATAAAATAAAGGAAGGAACTCCTCAGTAGTGTAAGAAGGCGAAAGCTGAGCATGTTTTGGTTATTTTGTTAGAAACGACTGCTCCCTGTCTAAATCATCCTTCAAGGTACTGAAGTAATACAAATGCAAAGGAAAGCAAGATGGACAACGTAAGAAATGGATCGACCTTAGCCTCGCTTTCGAGTTTTCTGCTAAGGATAGCCTCTTTTCTGAAGAGTGGAGAAATTCGCTTATGCCAACTGTAACTCAGAGGGAAATGTAAGGTGATCGGTTCACTAAAGTACAAGGGCATTTAATTGTTGCAGATACACTGTGGTGACAAACTGTGGCCACCTTGTAGTCGATTCTTGCATTCACATGAACCCAATGGAATGTACGCAAGAGAGCAGTTGCAGAATCACGTCTTGTGTTTTTTTTTAAAATAAAGAGCAAGATAAACAAATCCATGTAAACCTTTTTTTATTCTGTAGTAGGAAATCTATTAAAGGAAGATAACTCATAAAAGGTTAACTTTGTATTCTATTACATATTAACATGTTAGATTTCACTACTATTACTAATATTAATAATTAAATGTAATAATTTCAAATGAGTAAAAAAGGGATTTAATTTATGTTTGTCTTTGTTTCTGTTTAATTGTTATTTCGTATTATCAATATCATTGTTTATATGACCTCGTTGATATTCATGAAATACTATTATAAGTAAATAGTAAATTACATCATTTTCTTAACACCGCATAATGAATTGCATCTCAAAAAAACAAAAAAAACAAAAAAAAAAACTATTTTTAGGTTAATCAATTTTCAATTGTTTCTGATTTAATACCTGTGAATTATGAGAACCTACAAATAAAAACATCTGGAAGATTAAAAAAGCCCACAAAAGAGGCAAGATGGCCCATACAAGAGGCACATTAAGCCCAAAAAAAAGAGGCCCAAGGATTCCTAAGATGATAAAGCGAAAATTGAATAGAGCAAATTCTGAGGTTTCCTTTAAAAAAAAAATAATATAAAAAATTAAATACCTAAAGAAAGAAAAAGGTAAAAAATAACTTAACAATGGTAACAAATAGAGATACTTATTAATAAAGTATATTGAGTAGTCTGTGCGTCACTCAGATCGTCAAAGAGCTGAGCCGAAGGCTCTTCGAGCTCTATGTTTGAAAAAAAAACCTGTTTGAGCATCAAACAATAAAAAAAAAAAAAAACCTGTGTGAACACACAGTTCTGTTTGGAAGAGACCCAAGTCAATGTCTATGTAAGCATTGCTATTTCCGATGCATGCCCCCGACACATGGGCTAGACATGGCCGAAGGCCGAGTGCACCGAGAACCTCCGCCATTTTCTTATGTTGTACCAAGCTAACCGTGGAGAACTCGCGATTAGCGCCATTATCTATGCTTTACAAGCCATGAGATTCAGACAGTTTGGTGTTTTGAAAGCGATGAGATTCAGATTCTTTGATAATCCAAAAGCCATGCAATACATATTCTTTGATGTTTTAGATGCCATGAGATTCAGATACTTTGATAATCTAAAATTTATGAGATCCAGGTGCTCGTGTATCCATTTTTTAATCAGTTGCTAACTAATTCCTTGGCCACTGGTAAAGTCGTATTATTTCTGGAATGTCTAAGCTAGAACCCGATTACATGTCAACCTTTCTGTCGAGTTTTATCAAAACAAAACTGTTTTCCTTTCTATACAATATTTTTTTTTGTTTACTTTTCAGACGAGATTGTGACAAGGGTGCAGCTGATTTTTGAACTGTGTCCTCCAACCCACGAGAAGTTCTAAGTTACATTAAAACATGAAATTTCAAAGAAAAGTCATATTTGTCTTTTTTCTTCTAACTACCATTTGAATAATTTTGTATGTATTGGTTTTACCAAAATAGAAATGTAACATTGCATTTACAGCCACCATCTTCATAATTCGGCAAGGATTCCTTTTTTTTTTTTTTACACTGAAACGTGGGAATAAAATGGAGTAATATTCCACGCTTGTTTCCGCTGGGTTTCGAACCCAGGATCTTCCGCGTGTTAGGCGGACGTGAATAGCACTAAACTACGGATATTATGATACATGGATTATTAATAAAGCTTTTTAAAAAGTCGTTGATTTGTTGTTTTCAAATTATAGTCGTGTCATCATTAAAGACGATTGGTCACTTCCTAGAGGTGGTGGTATTCATGAATCAACCAGTTGCCTAGTCGTAGAACTAGTCATCGCTTTCAACAAAGCCATTGCTTTTCCTGGCTGATTCAGGCAACCCGTTCCATTTTCTAATGGCATTAGGGAAGAAGAAGTACTTATATTAACCTGACCCTACATATGAATACATTTGCCTTTATCGCTCTGGCTTTGAGATCATATTAGAATATGTTTGTTTATGTATGTGTATGCTAGAAACGCCTAGTGCACGTTGGATCAAGATATACATGTCAGTGCCTTGTTACCATTGTAAGGATTATACATTTCTTAATGTCATACTAGCCCAAAACTTCCCGCATTCACGAGGGATGAGAGTGGCAGGATTCGAACCTGGAACCATCAAAAAGACTGCTTTCTTGGAGTTTGTTGTTTTCTGGGAGTGGAACAGGAATTCCTGTCCCTGGAGTTTTCCTACATAGATATTAAAATTTGTATTCTTTCCTGAGCAACTGGAGTTTTCCTAAATTGATATTAAACTTTGTCTTCTTTCCTGGGCAACTGGAGTTTTGTGGGTTTATTTGGTAACATTTTTATACGTTAATTAATGAATAGTATCGATCTGTATTAATGGAAGTCCTTGTTTCTCTATCTATCCGTATTGAGCAATGTAAAGATTCTATCATGAACCAGTACCAAAACAGTTTTTTTTTTAAATGGAACTCGACTAACGTATTCACAACGCGTGTTAGTGTGTTTGCAGAAGACATGGGCCAACGAAATGACTCTTTGATGTCTGGGCTTTCATCTGGATCGAGCAATAGGCCTACTTCGTTTGACCGTGTCATTTCTCGCATTCAAATCGACGAACCGAAACCTGCTTTCTGTACAGACTACTCGAGAAGTCCATGAGTCAGAGGAAGTGGCAGACACACCAGACACTTATTGGAGGATCTTTGACTCTCGGGTAGGCAATAATAGGTAAGGGGCCGGGGAGAGGCTGGGTGTCAAAATCGCTAAGTGTGAAGACCTTAAAATGATGAGGCCTGCAAGTAGCACTGTCTACGGATGTAGACTATTACATTCATTTGAAAAATCTGTTAAGAAACACTAGAATTACACTGTCGAGTCTGTAAACGATTTTTTTAACACGACCCTCAAATGGTCACTTTTATAAGAGAATGTTATAAAACTTTTAAAACAATTTCTTGCATGTCATAGTGATCCTTTAGGGTGCCCTACCGGCCCATTTGGGTACCGGTCCACAGGGCATTTGCCCGAACGCCCTTATAGCCAGTCCACTCCTGGACGGGTCCCAGTTTTTGGAGGGTCCATTTTCTTTAAAAAAAAAATAATCCCTTCTACTTACTTCCCAAGGGTTGTGAAATGTTATTTCTTTGAATGCAGTTTAGACAGCGTTGTAGGTCTAGTGTTTAATGTTGCCTCAATGTAGTAGTTTTTCTCTATAAGTCTTTAAAAAGTTTATACTTAGTAAAGTTCCCTTTCAGACCTTGCGATCTATAGGGCAGATGATGTTATGATCATCTGTTTCTATGGCCAACGGTTAATGTGGCCAGCGCAACGACCAACTGCCTTTACTTTCCCTAACTAAAATCAGGTACCCATTCGTTAGATGCAACTCCTACTTTCGGTATTCGAAACGCTTAAGTAGTCTAAAACAACACACGCGCAAAACGAACTCTATCCAAGCCAATATTTAACTCTGGATTAGTCTAGATCTATCTCTAACTCAAGATCTAATTCAAAGATGATAGATCTAATTTATACTTTAACATATGAACATACAAAATAAAGTCTATTCATTTCATATTTTAATCAAATATATGTAGGCCTACAAGCAAATGTTTTTATTTGAAAAATGGATTTAGGTCGATTAGCTATTTTGATAGCTCCATTCATACTATTTTTACATTCACGCATTCGCTTTACTTATAACATTATTATTTCGTTTAATTGTTTACAAAACACTCTCAGTGACTATATCGACAGTAATAAGCAAATTAATACCCGCGGGCCGCGGGTATCACATGGCTAGTATATATAGATATTTCTCTCTATATATATAATATGCATACAGAACACTGTTTAATAAGTGCAATTCCTGTTTCACTCTATTTTCCTAAGGTGACTAAATTGTCAAAATCACAATTACTAAATTTTCTCAATTTTGAGATATTTTGGGACAGAAGACTAAACAAGTTAAGTAGAAGCAGTACGTAAAAATAACAAGGTTGCAAAGACAGTTTGTGTAGAAACACAAACACAGAATCGGCCCCCGAAGTGGTCCACCCAGGCAGGTAAAAAGGCAGGTTTCAATATTTTCAGAAACAATATCGGAATGAAATTCTATCAAAGGCAAATGACAGAGAAGAATGGAGAAAGAAAGTTTACAGATCTTGTGTGGTGCCCCAACGGTCCAGCAGACGAAGAAATAGGTGAAAGTGAAGGAGTGAATGTGAATTTGGCCCAACTAATGTCATATAATGATTATCTAATTGATCTAATTGTTTCTGTAAATGGTCTTATTCAAAGCCTCAAGAAAAAAGTTTTAAAAAAAAAGTTCTCCTCTCTATTTACTTTAGTGTAGTCATGTAGATGTTATCATATAGCAGATCATGCTATAATAGGAAAAAACTACTTATGTACTTATGTTTTAAATTATGTTCTTCTTATATGCAAACTAAATAGATTTTTTTCTCTTTAAAAATAAAAGTAAACATTTTTTGGCAAATGTAGTAATAGTTATTACAGTACTTACTTAGCTTAGCAGTACCATTTTAATAATAATAATAATCGATAAAAAAAGAAAAAGCTGCTATCATTATTGACATCGCCGTACCACTATCTCACAATTTAAGAAAAACTGAGCTGGAAAAACAACGAACATATGGGAACCTAGGCTTGGAGATTAAGCGTTTATGGAAGTTATCTAAAACAACAATATACCCCCATTGTTAAATCAGCTAAGGGGTTAATAACAACTGACCTGACAGATACCTTCAAGGCCCTTGGCAGTCCTACGAACATCCTCGTTGCCTGTCAGAGGGCGGTACTGTTGCAGACCTGCCACATCACCAGAAAATTCCTCAGTGAAAACTGTTAAAGGGACTACGATGAATTTTGTTTATCTTTAACGAAACTCGACCCTGGCTGCGCCAGAGAATGAATACTCGTTCTTTTCTTACATAATAATAATAATCTTTATTATCCATGAGGAAATTTGTGCATTACACCAAACAAAACATTATAAATATAGAAAACCAAAAATACACATTCACACCAGACTCATAATCTACATGCGAAAAGTTTATACCGGATAGTTTTTATTTAATGATTTGATTGCCAGGGGAACAAAAGTGTTTTGTGTCTCTTTGTCTTTGCTATCGGTGTCTTGTAGGCAAGGGTTCAAACCCTGCCCGCTCCCATCCCCCCGTCGTTCTGCGGGAGGTTTGGACTAGGAAGTAAACTATCTTCAGCTCTGAAGGAACATCCGAAACATGTAAAACATTTTACAAAGAAACATTTTTACCTCTTTTGTGATGGTAGTATCACAAAATCCTGACCCAAAGGGTGATTTTTATTTCTAGAATCTTTGTAGCTTTTTTTATGAATGTTCGTCTCAAACAGCTGCCCAAATGAGTTTTGTTTTTTGCCAATGATTTTACCAGCTGCATTTAGGTTTCTATGAAGTTTATTTTTATTTTTAATGTTAAGACAGCTATACCAGGCAGAGATATTAAAACTTAAATATTGCAGATGTGAGCGTGATAAAACATAGCCAAGGCCTTTTAAATTTGACATCCCCTTTGGTTACTCTCATGGAATTCGATGACTGTCGTTTGCGTTGGGGCAAAGGATGGTTAACATTAAAATCTCACCTAAAATAAACAAAATCAAAGCAAAAAATCAGTCACAAAGTCCCCTCCCCCAACCGGTTGGGGGAGGGATTTCATTTCATTTAACCCCAACCCCCAAGTCTACGCCCATGACGCAATTATGTTATCTTTTTTTTTATGGAACGTCTCTAATTTACAAAATTAATTATTAACGTAATGTGTATAATGTTGAAATGACATAGGCCTACACCTAATTTATATCAATAATAATGAAAATATAAACATCAACACTTAATCATTTATTAACAGCCATCTAGAGATTAGAATTCTTCTATGACCAAAAGATGAGAGTCACTTTTCACGAGCTATTATAAAACACGTTAATTGTTCAAACATTTATACCATCCATTGGAAAGCAAGACACACAGAACAAGTCGATTCACTTGGCCAGACACCACAGGGTAATCTCTGAAGTAGCACCAAGAACAGCAAACAAAATATTGAATATGTATTATTCTAAACTCAATAGACTTGAACACAAGGAGACTGGGACTATCATTACACTTGTCTGCAAGTATTTAGTTATTCTTGTACTTAACACTGCACAACTTAACAAGGGAAGAATAAGGTGATTCTGTGTTTTACCTGCACTGGGTGGAGACATCAGGGGACGTCATCAACTTTTATTACGAATAAAATGGAATGTACAGTGTATTTGGTTGTGTAGGTTTTAATTAAAAACTAAACGACGTGTAAAAAAAAAAAAAAGAAATGTGGATAGTCTTCATTTTTGCTCGATACAGAGAGACTAAATATTTAAAAGAAAAAGGAAAAAAAAAAAAAAAAGACATGAATAATGTCATTCAAATGCATATTGCATTCTAAACACTGAAAAAATGTACTGGATTTGTTGTATAAGAACCTCTAACACATAATTATGATGTCCACCGGTCAATAAAGCGAAGGTACTAAAGCGAAAGAAAGTCCCTACTTTGAGAAACCCTAGAAGCTTGCATAAAAATGAGTAATAGACGAAGTACGCCGAAAGACCTTAAAGAAAAGGCTCGTT